TAAATAAATGGTTAGAGGTTCGAATCCTCCAGCTGGACTTTGGGATAATGATTGACAATCTCGTCCATGACGGTTTACAGCCTCAGGGACCAGTGGAGGGTTACAAGCGGAACTAACTCTCTTGGATTTTTAAAGAAAACCATGACTTTGTTTTTCCACATGCCTTCAATGGATGAATGGACAGAGAAACTATGACACATTCACACCCAGAGTGCTGGGCAACCCCGAAAAACAACAAAGAACTGGTGAGACAGCATAGCAAGGAAGACGGGTGAAGCACAGCACAGAGGGCAGGCTCTGGAGGACGCGACGCTAAGCGAGGCAAGTCCATCACGGGGGCTAGGGCCTGGCGGCCTGCACGGCATCCACCTTGGACTCCAGGGTACACACAGCTGAGGACGGTGCAGGACTCGGGCTGTCACTAGAGCCGACTCACGGGCGACCACCAGTTCTTACGCTTTGCTATTTTATTAAAGTTCTATAGCTGTGTCAACAACGTCCTGCCAGCACCCAGGCACAGGCTGCAGCATGGCACAGTGACCACAGATACTTCATCTCCAGTGGTTCAAATCCAGTCTGTCTCCTCCAGGGAAGGTTTCCAGCCTCGGAAATCTAAGAGAGAGCTGTCAGCCAGGATCAACTCGATGGCAGTGTGTTTGGTTTCTCGTTTTCTGTGTTCCTCGGCTCCCACTGTGTGCAAGGCCCCGGGGGGACTGCAGCTGGCCCGACGGTCCAGCCAGCAGACCCACCAGGAGACGAAGGTCAACTGAGAGAATGGGTAGCAGCGACCAGCAGCCTCAGAGTGGACCTAATGCCAGGCAGGGACAGGGCAGCCATGGTGCACCTTCGCCATGGCTGACTGACACTGGCGGTGAGCTGAGCGCTGGGAACGCTGGCAGTTATGGCAAGCCTGGTGCTGCGGCTCACCTGCTCTAGTTGGCCACATGCCCTTGGATCATTTTTAGAAACCTCCTTTCAATCTAAATATGGAACAGGTCACCTGGGAGGCTGGGCTCTATGAGGAGGAGTGTGGCATCAGGATTGGAGGAAGACTCATCAACAACTTGCGTTGTTATGCAGATGACATACCTTGCTTGCTGAAGAGGACACGAGGCATTTGCTACAGACGGTCAAAGACTGCAGCCTTCAATATGGATTGAAGCTCAACATCAAGAAAACAAAGATTCTCACCACTGGGCCAACTGGCAGCACCATGATAGATGGAGAAGAGACTGAGGTGGTTAACACCTTCATCTTGCTTGGTTCTACAAGCTTTTGGTACCAGCAACCAGGAAATTAGAAAACAAATTGCATTGGGAAAGTCTGCTATTTGGGGACCTCTCCAGAGTACTGAGAAGCAACAATGTCTGTCTAGAGACTAAGGTACACCTGATCCAGGCCATGGTCTTCACAATTACTTACTATGCATCAGAGAGCTGGATAATGAAAAAAGATGATGGAAGAAGAATCAAATACCTTTGAGTTATGATGCTGGAGAAGAGTATTGAATATACCATGGTCTGGTAAGAGAGAAAACAAGTATGTCCTGGAGAAGGTGAAACCAGGCTGCTCCTTGGAGGCAAGGATTCTGAAGCTTCGTCTGACATACTCTGGACATGTTGCAAGAAAGGATCAGTCTTTGGAGAGGGACGTCATGCTTGGGAGGTGGAGGGGCAGCACAGGAGAGGAAGACCCTTGATGAGGTGGATCGATTCAGTGACTGGGGTAACGGGGGTGGGTGTGTCGGAGACGATGAAATGAGAGGACATCCAGGGTTGTTGTCTCTGTGGAAGCTGCTACATCTTCCTCAGAGGACAGTGGATTTGAACCATTCACCTTTTGGTCAGCAGCCCAATGCCTGACCATTAAGCCACCAAGCTTCGAAGCACAGGGGGTGTTCTCTGTCCAGCCTAGGAGGCCCCCGGGCTGCGGGGCATCAGCTGGGCCCTGGCTTCCTCGTGGTGTCTCCTGCATCCTCCAGCTTCTGTGAGTTTCTCCATTCCTGGCTGGCAGCTGCGTCTTCACCTCCCGTCCCCTGTGTGACCCTGCCTCTCCTCCTCTTTTACATGACACCCCTGGGAAGGAGGGAGGACCCACCTACACGATGGGCCTCCAGATGCAGCGACTCCCACCCTCAGTAGGTGTACATCTACAAGAGCAGGTGGGACCCCCTTGGGTCTTCTGGGGACACAGTTCAGTCTGGAACGTGTTGCAGTAAAGTCCTTGTTCTCTGGGGCTCCAGGGGCACAGGTGTGGGTCCTGCGGCTTCTCTGAGCTGCTTAGCAGGAGTGAACTGGGCCTGACACTCGCCGCCCCCCATGTCTGTGCGCAGGTCGGTGTGTTACAAACACTGGACACAGAGAACTGATGGTGCGAGGTCCCATCTGTGCCCCCGGCACCCAAATCATGTCTTAGTCACCTCAGTCTGTCCAGACAGGTGTGAGTCTCCTTTGCTGGTGGAGGGGTGAGCAGGCTGCAGCTTGAGCCTTTCTGTACAGGCAGCAGTGGACGCCTCCTCCTCCTGCCCCTGCCCTTGCTGGCCCCAAACACTCCACAGGCATCTGGGGGTCATGCGTCCACTGAGACATCCTTTCCTCCTCCTCTGGTCCACTCGGTGCTGGCCAGAGAACACCCCCTGTACTTTGAAGCCACCGGCCTGGTAGCGTTTTGTTACTGACAGAACAACACTAACATTTTTCCTTTCTCTCCCATCTTTCTTTTCTTATATCCTATGGAACAGTATGGCTGTAAACTGTCAGCAAAGAGTGTGACTATCCTGGAAACGTCAAAAGAACAATCACATCTGTCCTGGAGAAAGTATAGCCTGGTGTTCCTCAGAGGCAGGGATGCTGACACGTCGCCTCACATGCTCTGGGCTGCTCTCTGGGGAAGGACATGGGGTTTTGAGAGGGTGAGCAAAAGAGAGGAACTCAGCAAGACGTCCCAATACAGTGACCGCAGCAATGGGTCTCCGGACACAGCCTGTAACTCAACTAGATGTCCCGACAGAGTGACCACAGCAATGGGTCTCCGGACACAGCCTGTAACTCAACTAGATGTTCCGACACAGTGACCGCAGCAATGGGTCTCTGGACACAGCCTGTAACTCAACTAGATGTTCCGACACAGTGACCGCAGCAACGGGTCTCTGGACACAGCCTGTCTTGTCCGACTGCACACGAGGCACCTGGGTCAGAGCTGACTTGGGCTCTAACGCCAGCACCAGCGGTCCTCAGAGGAGGACATCGTGCTTGGTAAGGGGGAGGGTCAGTACGAGAGGGAGGCTCTCAACGAGATGGAATGATGAGTGACCACACAATGGTCAGAGCCCAGCAGTGGCTGTGTGGACAGCACCACCTGGGCAGGGCTAGTTCCTTCATCCAAAGGGCTTCTCTGAGTCATAGCTCACTCGATGGGACTTAATAATGGTAGATAAGGGTCACAGGAACCATGCTGGCTGGCTGCTGCTGCAGGCCCAGGACCGATGGGTGCTAGGCATTCACACAGCGTTCTGTGTGGCAAGGACGCAGCTGTATTCCCTCCTGCACACGCACCAGGAGAGGCAGCTGCAGGGAGCCACACTGAAGTGGGCTGTGTGGACTGAGCCAGACAGGGGATGTGCTACCAGCCCCAGTGTCACCCTGCAGGCAAGGATGTCACAGTGATAAAATCTAAAGATGCAGGCAAGGGTGTTATTGTGTTAAAGTCCAAAAATGCATGGCAGAGCCTGGGGCCATGGGGCATAGGTATCACTTGGCAGAGGCCAGGGCTTGATCCACAGACCCTTGGCTCTGGGAGTCGTGGTTCACTGCATGGCTGTGTCCTGCAGCCACGGTCAGAACTTCTACATTCCTCTCACAGTGACCCAGGGATGTAGGTAGGGAAGCCATGGTGCCCAGTACATCGGAGCTGGGAAGCCGCCTGATGGGATGTCCTGTTCTGCATGGATGGGGCACCACCAGTCTCACGTGCTGAGGATTTGCTTCTATTGGTGGACTAAGAAGGGGGCGAGGAGATGAACCAGGCTAGTGCACAGACCTAGGGAAAGGCTGCGTGCAAACGTCATGTGTAAGAGAGTGCATGTGGGTGTGCATGACCGTGAGTGTTCATGCCAGTGTGCAAGAGAGTGTGTGTGGGTGCACACGACCATGAGAGTGCTCATGTCAGTGTGTAAGAGAGTGTGTGTGGATGCACATGACCCTGTGAGGGTGTGAGTATGTGCATGACCATGAGAGTGCCCGTGTGAGTGTGTAAGAGAGTGCGTGCGGGTGCACATGACCGTGAGGGTGCCCGTGTCAGCATGTACTGAATTCACATGAGCAGAATGTGTATGACTGTGCAGGCTCCCTGAGCACGAGCGTGTCAGTGTGTGTCAGAGTGTGTGATGAGTGGATGCGTGTGAATGTGTGTGTGCTGACATGAGTCAGTGTGTGTGCTGTGTGATGTGCAGTGTGTGTGCGCCTGGGATATTTTCAAGGGTATGAGTGTGTGTGTCCACACGTGTGTGTGAGTGCATGCTGTTCTCAACGGTGTACGTGTACGTGTGATTTTCTCATGGTGTTTGCGCATGTGTGCGCTCACGTGCATGGATGGTGTGTCCTCACAGGCAGCTGTTCTCAAGGGCGTACGTGTATGTGTGATTTTCTCATGGTGTGTGTGTATGTGTATGTGTGTGCCCACGTGCATGGATGGTGTGTCCTCACAGGCAGCTGTTCTCTAGGCTGTACGTGTATGTGTGATTTTCTCATGGTGAGTGTGCATGTGTGTGCGCCCACGTGCATGGATGGTGTGTCCTCACAGGGAGCTGTTCTCCTAGCAGAGCTTGGCGGCTGCCGAGCTCACATGGCTCCAGGGGAGGCTGCCTGGTCCCACTCTTCCCTCAGCCGAGTCCTCAGTGGACCCAAAGCCTCGCCCACGCCTGGGTGTTCAGAGCATCTGTGCCACACCCTGCCCTGGCACTTGGGAGCTGCAGCTGCACCATCAGCAGAAGGCAGACTCACCTTCCCGTAGGATCCTTGCCCTAGAACTTTGAGCAACTCAAACTGCGAAGGGTCTGCCTTCTCGAAGCCTTCTTTCACATGGTGGCTGATGTCAATCTCTTTCACGAGGCCTTCTTCCTGTAAGAGAGGGGACAGGAGATAGAGACCAAGTCAGAGGGGACACTGGTATAGATAGTCAATCAGAGGACACACATGGAACAGACGGAACCAGAGAGGGGACACGGGATAGAGACCAAGTCAGAGGGGGGACAGTTCACAGACACGGTCAGCCAGGGAGGAACGTGTGGTAAAGATCCCGGTTGGGAAGGCCCTGGGATGGACCACTGATGTCCCCGTGATACGGGGATTTTCAGTTAAAGGCTTGGACATGACAGTCACCTGGTTACCAGGCATTATCCACTCCCCGGCCATGTGGACCTTCCATTGTTTTTGAGGATTTTTGTCCTCTAGTCTCACCAGGTCTACAGGAGGGCTCCCCAAACCCAAGGCCCAGTCCACTGCTGTGCAGTCGAGTCTGGGGCACAGTGCCCCGTGGAGCAGAGCAGAGCTGTCCCATCGGGTCTCCGTGAGCACCAGCCCTCATGGAAGCACAGTTCCCCACTCTCCACGACGTGGCTGGGACGTGGGCCTCTGACCCGTAGCCAAGCAGCTGAGGACCCCTCTGCCCTGGCCATCTCGGCACATGCAGGGGACCCCAATGAGGCTGGTCCCCACGTGTCACGATGAGCAGACACGAGTTTGTTGTGCTGCATTTGGCTGCACTTCTCTGATACCATGTCCCTCACAAGCCAAAGGTCTGTGGCCAGCCACACCCAGCAAGTCTGTGGGCACCTGTTTCCCAGAGTCCGCGTTTTCCTGGTGTAACTGTCTCATTTCAGTCATTCTCACTGCATTGAGACATTCTCCTCACATGATTAAACACTTCATGACAATGTAGTCTGGGCCAGTCCTTGGACAGAGACATCGAGCTGGGCAAGGTGGGGGGCCAGTGAAGGTGAAGGAGACCCTCCACGAGATGGACTAGCACAGTGACCGTAACAGTGCTTGACCAGGGCAGAGTCGGTGAGGACGGAGCAGGGCAGGGCAGGGCAGGGCAGGGCAGGATAGGAAAGGGCAAGGCAGGACTGGGCAGGACAGGATAGGACAGGGGCAGGACAGGACAGGACAGGGCTCAGATCTTTGTTCATAGGGTCACTATAGGTCGTAAATGACTCAGCACTTAACAACAACACAACATAGGCAGGTTGAAAACTGGACAACGAATAAGGGAGCTCAGAAAAGAACCGATGCTTTTGAATTATTGTGTTGGCAAAAAAGTGCTGATTAGATTGTGGCCCGGAGAACGTATGAGTATGTCATAGAAGAAATGCAGACAGACGCTCCCTAGAATCTGAGCAGCAGGGATGGGGGGACGTCATCTCACGTTCTTTCGACTTGTCAGGAGGGACCGGTGCTCCATGGCCAAGCCGGTGAACGAGGGGAAGACACACAGGAAGACGGGTGGCCCTGTGGCTGCAGCAGGTGGCTGTGCGGATGGAGCAGGACCGGGCAGGGCCGCTTCTAGTGTGTGTGTGACCATTACGAGCCAGCGGCCTCGGCACCGGCACCAGCACCGCCTCGGCACCACCACTCCCCCCCAACCCCAACACACCAGGTCTGTGCCGAGCTGTGTGCATTTCAGACTGCAATCCAAAAGAGCAGCTAACGGTCTTTCAGAGACCCAGGTGATCCTGAACTGCTCAATATTAGTTTACTATAAATTGGGAACAAAATCCAATTTGCTTTGTGTCATAGGCACCTTCTCATCAACAAAGCACAACCCTTACTTCTATCCGCAGGAAAATCATACCACAGTCTCAGGCAGTCACGGTGGTGGGAGGCCCCAACTCCCTGCTTCTCTCCGTTGAGTCTCCGAGGTCATGATCTGCCTCTGCAAGATTACGGTCTTCATCCTGAGGTGGATTTGAACTACCTGGGACTCACAGCCTGTGGGGCACGACCCCCTGGGATTCACGGCCTGTGGGGCACGACCCCTGGGGTTCACGGCCTGTGGGGCACGACCCCTGGGATTCACGGCCTGTGGTTAACAGCACAGGCCCCTGGGGTTCACAGCCTGTGGTTAACAGCACGACCCCTGGGATTCACGGCCTGTGGTTAACAGCACGACCCCTGGGGTTCACGGCCTGTGGGGCATGACCCCTGGGTTTCACGGCCTGTGGGGCACGACCCCTGGGATTCACGGCCTGTGGTTAGCAGCACAGCCCCCTGGGGTTCACGGCCTGTGGGGCACGAGCCCCTGGGATTCACAGCCTGTGGTTCAATGGCACGGCCCCCTGGGATTCATGGCCTGTGGTTAATGGCACAGCCCCCTGGGGGGCCTCCCACCAGGCTCTCTGTGCAATAACTGCTCACCTTTCAAATGACAGCTGTGGTGGTGGCGGTGTTAGGTGTCACCAAGTCGATTACGACTCAGAGACTAAAGCTCTGCACCCTGTCCTCTCCTGCACCCTCGTCATGAAGTCAAAAGATACCAGAGCTGAAGGAAAAATAGAAGTATTTCCTTGGTGCAATGGTTAAGCACTCAGCTGGTAACCAAAAGGTTGGCAGTTTGAACCCACCCAGAGGCTCTGTGGGAGAAAGACCGGCAGCCTCTTCCTGCAACGATTTACACCGTCAACAGCCCCATGGAGGATCGTGGTGCATCAGAATTGATATCAGGGCCGTTTGTCTTTATTTCCCCTCAGTCTATGGTGGTCTAGTGGGTAAGAAGTTGTGTTGTCAATCCAAGGGCCGGTGGTTCAAATCCACCAGCTGCTCTAGTGGAGAAAGACGGACAATCTCCTCCTGCTGGAAGGTCAGCCATGAGTTGCTTCTGACTCAACAGCCCAGAGAAAGAGAAAGAGGTCGGTTTGTTGCCCCAGACTGCGGATTAGATGTGGTTTAAACCCAGATCTGCTGCTCCAGTCAGGGGCATGTGACACGCGGTGCAAATGAGGAAGCCTCGGCAGCCCCTGGAGGAAGGTGCTGAGGACACACAGGGCTCAACCAGTGACTACTGATGTGTCAGAGGGCGAGCCTGGAGGGTGGTGGCTGCATCCTGACCTTGACCCTGACTGCCACAAGCAGCCAGTGCTCTGCCTGCTGACCAGAAGCCTGGTGACCCATGTCCGCCCAGAGCCACTTTGGTAAGAAGCCCACAGAAGGAGCTTGACTCTCACACACAGGCACCAGGAGCTGAAACCGCAGTAACTAGGGGTGGTGATGTGTCTGCCTCAGTGGGGTCGCGGCCCTAGGGGCCAGAGCCGTTGCTAAGCCAGTATCAGCACCAGCCCAGGGCTGCAGAGGCCAGGACGCATCACAGAGCACATTTCACAAGCTGGCTGCTGATGTTTAGATGGCTCGCATCGGTCATCCCTGCCTGTGCCCCTTTTCCACACAGACACCGGTTCCACCGTAGGGCTCACTCGCTCTGCTTGCTGAGAACAACATGCCGGGACAGACACGAGACAGCGCTGGAGATGCCCGCACTGTGTCCATCCGCCGCAGATCACGTGCGCCACACGGCCTGCTGGAGCGCAGGGAAGAACTGACCCGGGACAGAGGGAGCACACAGTGAGGACAGGCCACAGTCACGCGTCCACTGGCCGCACCCTGTGGTCCTTACCTTTCAAGGTGGCTTTCTTGAGGACCTTCATGGCATAGAGCTGGCCCGCGTCGGATGCCTTCACCTTTCTCACCAGGAACACCTGGCAGGGAGGAGACAGAGCCAGCACTGAGCAGAAGACACCTGACTCACACTCCCCATGTGACCGGACAAAAGGGCACCAAGGACACCAGGGAAATTCTGATAAAGTGGACAGGTGCAGGGAAACAGGCTTCCCCCCATCTGGGCTGCGGGAGAGCCTGCGTGGGTCTCTGCGCGTCCGAGGAGGAGGAGGGCACACATGCTCGTGTGAACTGCCGAGCACTCGCGGGCTATTTCCCTGTCATGTGTGAAGTGGCACCACCATGCACACCGGAAGACCCACTGTTTAGAAAGAATCCAGAGAGACGCAAATCAAAACAACTATGAGATATGACCTGACCCCAGCAACAACAGGTAAGTTCAACAGGGCAGCAAACAGCCAATGCTGGAGAGGTTGTGGAGAGACTGGAACTTGTATTCACTGCTGGTGAGAATGTAAAATGGTACAACCGCTATGGAAGGCAGTCTGCTTTCTCCAAAACTTAGAAATAAGAAATACCGTATGATCCAGTCAGTCCACTATTTGGAATATCCCCTAAAATAACCAGAGCTGTGATTCACACAGATGTCTGCACGCCCATGTTCACTGCTACATTATTCACAACAGCAGTGAGATGGAAGCAATCCAAGTGCCCATGAAGAAATGAATGGATAGAAAAAGGATGGTGCATCCACACAATGGAATATTACGCAGCACTTAAACGCAGTGAACTCACGGAGCATTACACAACATGGGTGAGCCCGGAAGACATGAGGCTGAGTGACACAGTTCAGTCACAAAAGGAGGAATACCGCATAACACCACTGCTGTAAAAGGGAGGGGGGAGAGGAAAATGTGCAACAATGAATAACAGAAACATCCAGGAAGAATGCAACTCCACAAACCATCTGAAAGGCCCCCTTGGGAATGTCTCCCTGGGGACCATGGAGCAGCCAAGAGTGGGCCCCATCACCTGCAAGGTGAGTGCACCCTCCTCTCCTGAGTGCCTGCTCCCATCCCCAGCTCTGCATCAGGTCCATGTGGGAGCAGGGACTGGGCCGCCTAGTGCGTCCTTGTATGGGCACAAGGGCAGGACCTGGGAATCCCTCACACAGACACAGGGGCATGACCTGGGGTGCCCTTGTATGGGCACAGGGGCAGGACCTGGGACCCCCTAATGTGGGCACAGGGGCACGATCTGGGACCCCCTCACACACACACAGGGGTACAACCCAGGGTGCACTTGTGTGTGCACAGGGGCACGATCTGAAGTCTTTTTGAGCTGCCCCGCAGAGGAAAGGGGGACAAAGAGTAATCAAGAGACTTCAAAGCACATTAGTGATTTTTCACTAAATTGAAGCTCAAATCGGGTACCCTTTTGCAACAAGCCTG